TCCTCCTCCCCTCCACCTCTCACAGCCCTCCTCCTCCGTACGCTCCCCTCCTCCGCTTCCATACCATCCACTCCTCGCACAGTTTCCCTGCTAAATTTAGGTGGGAAATTGACGCCACGTGACCTCAACACCAATATAGTTTTCCCGCTAAATTTAGCGGGGAAAAATGACCGCACATAACTTCGTGCAACGTACGTGACTCATGAACAAATTCAGTTTGTCCGCTAGATTTAGCGGGAAAATCGACGTCACGTGCCCTCAGCATCAATTCAATTTACACTAATATTAGCGAGGCGGTTACACCGACAGTAACGGCGATGGCAACGGCGCTATTCGCGACTCCAGCGACCTATAGGGGGCGCCACCACCAAACAAACATGGCGGCTGGGTCCAGGTCGCGTCGGCTCGACCGGGTCGCCTGAATGGGCTGCGCATTCAATTTAACAGATTTTCTTTTGTTTAATGCCCGATTTTATGAATATTTGAACTGAGACGGTTAAGTGTAGCCGGTGCGCATAAACTTGCCGAGCATAGTTTTGTTTTCCCGGTGTTTTTTGTTCTTTTCATGTCAAACTTTCGTTTCGGTGACTTCGTTCAAAACTGAAACTATGGGCTCCGGAGAAACGGTAATAGACTCTAATTAGTTTTGATCATCTAAGGAAAGCGGCGAGGGCTACAAGATTGTTCCACCGAGAGTAATTTTTAGTTAACTCGCGTGCCTCGACCATGCGACTTATCTGTCCGCGAAATTTAGCTTTTGTGCGTGTCCGCGTTTCAAGAAACAGCTCCAGTCGTGTGCTCGGTCAAGAGCACAGGCTGCAGGAAAATTACGAAAATTAAGCAAGCGCTTCTTGAGCCAAAGAGCATGTTAACCCGCTGGCGCTTCACTAAGCAGCTGATACTCGTATTTCAATTCAGGTTTTAGTAGCAATCGAGAAGTCATTTTGACGAATATGCGGATTGTGTATTATATTACGTACTATGGTCCCACTAAAGCGATATTAGTATATTCTTCGGGTTGAAATATGAACTTAGTTGACTAGCTATTAAGTGAACTACTTAATAAGAGTATATTCGAGAGACAGAGAGATACTACTTAAACTTAACCAAATGGTTCTAGCCGGTAGAACGGAGACGAATGCGGACAAACTGAGGAGAGTCTTCATCGGAGATTCACTCAGAACATCTCTGCATTGAACTTGACTTCGAATCCTGAACGAATAAATGAGTATTTTTTGTGGCCTGTCAACCTGAGCAATGCAGACGTATATTGCTGCTGGCTTCGATAGGGGTTATAATATAAATATTGGAGACGCGATAAATCCTAATGACGTGACAGCTTCTAACTTTGCGAGACGCGTCCCACACCTTTTAAAAGCAGATAATTTCCCTCATTAATCATATGCAGCGAGCAGGTTTTCTGAATCAAGTAATTGCGAAATTAGCCAAACTCCTTCAGTGTGGTCTTTTTCGGCGAAAAGCAGCCAAGATGAATAGCCAACGCACCGGCCGGCGTTAGTGGCTCAAATTAACTTGAAGCTAATCGAGCACAACCAAACTCAAGGAAAGCAGCTATCGAACCTTCCCATTCACTTGACTGCAACATTGGTGTTCCCCCCAGTGAAACACTTCGTCTGTCGACCTCAGTCCACTGTTCTACATCCTTATAAAAAAAAAAACACTTATCAGTTACCTAGCAGTCGTCACTTTGAATGTGATTAGAGACAGACAAGAAATCAAAACGTTTTTCCGTGATTCCTCCCCATCCAAAAAAATTGAAAGCACGCGACCGTGTGTTGTGGAGTAAACGGGCTTTCAAACACGTGATGGAAAGAAACAATCTACTGAGGCTACACCACACTAATGAACACTCAGGCAAACTTAAGAAATTTTCGGACCTTCGTCAAATTACATTGCTCGCCCCCGCGCCGACAGCACTGTCCACGAAAGCCACCAGAGACGCGGCGGGGCGCGGAGAGACCTGGACCGACTGGTTCCCGGTTTTCCCGCTTGGCGGCGTCCGTTTTGCTGGAGTCGCGAATACACCTTTCCAAAAAACGCTCCTAGGCCGCCGCCCTGTTGCTGATGCTGATGCGGCTGGTGCGTCTCTCGCGCCCTCTATCAGCTACAAATTTTCTGCCAGTCTCTTGGAATGCGAATACCCGCTGAGCGCCGTTCTCTACATACGTTTTTGCAGCTTTGCATTCGACGTTTTCTGTACCCTCTTGACAGTTTCCACTTAATTTGTTTTTATGCGTGCTACGTGCCCTTTCTGTGTTATCTTCCATTGTGAGAAATAAGGGCGGTAAGTGCCTGGCCATTCAATCTTTTCTGCTCGACACTCACAGGAAGCGAAGGAGGTGAAGGACGTCAAACGGCCCTCGACGCGATTTTGCAAACATTGTTCTCACCCCCTTCCAGAGATAATCCGCGTAGAATCCTCAGTCATCTCCAAAAATAGTTGTCCGGGTTAGGGTGGGAAACGGGTCAGTCGCGTTCGTTTCTTTGCCTTGGTGCTGTTGTGAAAAAATGGAAGCTCTCTCCAAAATGTGCCCCAAAACGAAGTCAGGTTGGACTCCGTCCGGTCGTCAAGATGTGACTGTCGTCGACTGTTACTGTGGTATTTGAGATCTTTCTCAAATAAATTCTCAGATAACGCTGCATCGTGTGGTACGTACAATATATTGTTCGAATGTTAACACTTGCTAAATTGTATGTCCGTGTCCGGTCCATCGGTAAACACGTTATTTGTGTGCGTGAAAGATGCAAGCCTTACCGCTATCTTCTGTTGTATATTGTTTTCGACAGCTAAGCGCTTTGTAGTTTGACATGCGGCGAATCGCGCGTCGTCGTCAAAACTTATCATAAAGAAACAAAACAAACTAGAACTATACATTCCAGTCGGATTCGTTCTGTTGCGCGCGTACCTAACATTGTAGTTTATAGGGTTTATATTGCGTTTTTGTTCAAATGTGGTACAATGCTTTCTCAATAATCTTAGGAAAATACATCTATCAGGAAACAGAAAATACAGCGGGAAAAGACGAGAATCTAGCCGCTAGCAGCGTTTGAAACTGCGCCTACGCAGGTTGCGCTACCGAGATCAGAGTCCACTCGGTTACGGTTAACAGGGACGCCGTTGAGAGTCTAGCCTCAAACCCAGTGAATGGGCTCAAAAACGGTTTGCTGCGTCTGGGGTCGAGTGTTGCTTGGAAAGGTGTATACGCGGAAACAGGCGCCTAAGGGCTGCGCTTTAAAGCTCAACTCTGTGATCCATTCCAGCATCACATCCATACGACATTCTATTAATCTTAAAATTTCGTACAACATATACACCTGCTCTCCTCTTCTTTTCTTTTTATTCGCACTCTCTCAGAGCTTCACTTTTATCACTCTTATTTTTTGTGAAAAGTCTACGTTAATAAGATCTGCGCTCTTTTCAAGTTCTTTAGCATTTCCAAGAGCAGCTTGTTTTTGTAATAATTTACAAAGCGCATGATCATTGGTCTCGGCTTGCCACAAGCCTTTTTTTTTCATGATGCTGAAGTCTGTTTGACAGATGAAACTATAAGTTTCATTATTCTTTTAAGTATCCTTTGAGCTATTTTCTCCATTATTCAGAATCAGAGTAACGTATTACACTGATTGCCTCTCAGATTCGATTACTCAGTGGATTAGAATGAGTTTCGTCTACTCCTGTTTTCCAGACATTAACTTTTCGTTTCAAGTTTTACCACAGATTTTTTTAATCACGTAAGTTTCCGTTGTGTATCGCTAATTGTTGCAGTGAGATCATGAATTTTAGAGCTGGAAACTTCGATAGCACCCACTTTGATATAAAAGTTTTTCTTAGTTTCAGATATTTGGGATATATAAGTACTAATGTGTTTTTAAAATTCAAATATTTCTTACAATGTCACCGGACCTGGATTCCTTTCGACGTCCCCACCCCTTATCAATAAAAGTGCACCTTTACAGTAAGAGCAATACGCAATGATTGTTTGAACAGTTCAAATGACCATCAATAGTCTCACATACCTGCATAAAATAAAATAGTGATCTTTAAAACATGCCTCCTTCGATATCGTCTTCCCCCTGACGGGTGATCAGCCTACTTGCTCTTCTATAACCCTCAAGTTTGACGTGAATTTGCCATCTTCGATGCTCAGTTCATTGGCCGATCAAATACGGGGTTTAAGTTCTCATCGCTGGAAATTTCAGATGCTGTGCCGTAGTTATCTGGACAACGAGTGCTTTCTTGGCAATGTTGTTTTGAAGGATGTTCGTTCCAGCGTGATGACCATGCGCGTCTTTTGCATTCGATAAGCTTTGGTGCAACAGCAGCAGCAGCTAAAACGGCATGTCAAAAAAGAGGAGTCTGTAAGACAAGTCTCCCTCGCTGTCACCTTGCTCACTCATCAGTAGATATGGGTTTATGCTCGAAGATATTATTTTCTCCCATACAAAAAAAAAAAAAAGAAATTATGTCTAAGAAAACATTTTCGGCTGAATGAGGTATTAAAATCAATTAAGCTGTATATGTTCTGTTTCGGACATGGCTTTATTTTTAATGGCACTAGAGTAGTTTTCTTCAGAGAGATTACCTTGCACTGAAGGTGAAAATTGGAAGACATATTTACAATCCTGAACATGCGAGCCTGTCTGCATACGGATTTTTATACAGTCGAATCTTCTTATTTCAAACTCGAGGGGAACCGAAACTTGGTTTAAATAAAGCAAAGTTCGAACTAGCGGGGCTTTTCTCGCATAGAGACGCAGAGGATGGGACCTGCATGTTAGTTTGAATTATCCGCAAGTTTGAAATGAGAGCGTTTAAATTAACGAGATTCGACTGTATGAGAATATTGAGGGTGGTCACAGGGCACAGATTCACCTGCCTAAAAAAAGTTTAGTTCTCGACCGAGCAAGGCAGCTGAACCCGACGCACGCCAGACGACGGGTATACGGCATGGCTTTGCCCTCAAAACATGGTTGTTTTTCCCTGGGAAGCAGACCATACACTTTCAACTAGGCGTATCTTTATCTTCAGCAAGATAATGCGATGCCCTCTTTACTCTCGGCGCTCAGCCGTATCAGCTCGGAGTGTCTGAAGTTTCCTGTTGCAATCAACGTCGTGGTAGAAAGGCTTTAAAAACACTTTGGGACGGGAGCGTCCCGGACAGAAAAAGAGTACTTTCAAACTAGACTAGTGTGAACGAACTACCATGACTGCAAATATCTATCCCGACGCTTACGTACAAGGCAATGACTGGATAAAAGATGCAAACCTCGCCGCATTGATGAGGACAACATTTACAAAACCTTCTATTCAGTGTGAAGAGATCCTTGATATTGGTTGCGGTACGGGGGACTTCACAAGTGATGTGCTACTGCCCAGGCATCATTCTTGCAGCAAGATTGTAGCTGTTGACGTATTATCAACCATGGTGGACTACGCGAAAAAAAATCACGGACACTCACGTATCTGCTACGAGGTCCTTGATGTAACCTCGCCGGACGTTTCCCTATTTCTGGAGAAACATGGAAAGTTTGACCGGATTTACTCTTTCTTCTGTCTGCATTGGGTCAGAGACCAGGAAGCGGCTTTCACGAACATCGGAAGGCTTTTGAAAGAGGATGGAGAATGTCTACTTTTGCTCTTGGCTCCATTTTGTCTGTATGAAGTATGGCTAGAGATGGCCGGATTGGAACGTTGGAAAGACATAATTAGTGTAAGTATGGAATTCTGCTCTACAAAATCTGAAACTCGCGAAATAGACATGAACTGCTGAAGGTACCCGTAGAGGGCATTCCCGAATCATGCGTATACCCATTTTTAAACATGCCCATTTAACGCGTTTTATGTTCTTATATTATTGTAAACCATATCAAACCCACGATTTAATAGTGAATGACGTGAGCGTGACGGCGAAATGAAATGAGCATGTATTTAGTTTTTTTTTTTTTTGAGCAGGACCCCAAAGATCTTTTCCCAGACATCTGGCACTGCGATCCGTCACCCAGCCTGAGCGACCTTGAGAAGTCTCTACGGAAACTGATTGTCGACGCAGGAATGAAAACCCTCGGATGCGAGGTTTACTCAACAGACGCCGGCTATAGCAGCCTTGGAGACGTACTGGGTAAGTTATATGAGTTTTTATTATTGAAACGCTGAACAAAAGAATACACAGAGGACATTTAGTGCTACGCTGTGTTACGCCAGTTTTGCTTTTTAGATCAATAACCGTGTTTATCGCTAGAAGACATGTCGATGTGCATTAAGCAAACTCCCATTTGAAGTAAGGCCTTATCGAATAAGGATATATTTCTTCGACCAATGCGCAGATTTGTGACAATAACAAATAAAGAAGCCACTAACAGATGTTCAATTTTTCGAACTCCCGTAATACGCCAAGGTCGGAATTTACGAGGTCTCAAGCGTTGAAACCTGGATAAGGTTTGAATTTGCGAAGTTTGAAGTTTTCAAAAGCTTTCATGGCTTTTGGTGGATATTTCGCAATTGTCCTAGCATCTTAAAAAACAGTGAAAAAGAAAACGTGCGTTTTTTTCAGAGGCAGAAGGCTCACATACGCTTGAGTTTTGTATTTTTTACGTTTTTTTTTAATTTTCAATTGATTCAGATTAAATCTTTAAATTATGAAAATCTGCTTTCCGCTGTCCAAAATTTTTGGTGGTATTAAATCTTGGCCTATAGGAGCTAAAACATTCCTCAGCGTGGGGCGTATAAAAAACTAAGCCGTCTGTCGCATTTTTCTAGGAACTACGCTGCGCGCTGACGCTAAGAAAATCCCCCTGCGACGCTCGCTGCGCCTTTCTGCACTTCCTTGCCGTCTTTTTTAAAAACGGCAGTTTACATCGTTTTTTATTTTTATTTTTTATTTAGAACAGACTGCGGGACAAATACTGGCCCAAGCAGAGTGGAATGAACAAGTAAAAAAAAAAAACGAATAAGAACTTTTGAAACCAAAAACAAAGCTCATCGATATAAGTATTCGAGGCATATACCAATTCATTCATTTCATTTCATTCATTTCCTTTATTTTCAGTGCCACGCAAACAGCTATACGCCTTCTTAGTGGTGCACTGCGTCTAAATAAAAAAAAAGTTCGCACCTCAAGAACAAATGTTGACATTTTAGAGAGAAAGGAAGAAATCGATGCACATTCTAAATGTTCGTTCGCATCCAAAAATATTAATACCAAGTTCATCTAAGTTGGATTCGAATTTGTTAAACACCAGTTGCAGTCGGGTAATAGGGCCAGCGTTGTGTAAAATGTAAGGATAGAACAATGAGCGTATATAAATAGACCGTTGAGGAACACGGAAATATACACTGTCCAGTAACGCTGTGCAGTCAACAACACCGTTAACAACTTTATGCAAGAACACGAAATCACGCGTCATGCGCCTATTACACAAGGAGCGTAGGCCAATTTGTTTACATGTTCCCTCATAGTCATAAAATACCTTGGACTGCAAGTAATCTATTATAAAGACACGTATAAATTTTCTTTGCACTTGCTCGATACTAGATGAGTTAGATTTTCCAATGTTGTTCCATATAACTGAAAGAAACTCGAAGCTGCTTAGCACAAGAGAGCGAAATAACATTAAAAAAACAAAAAAAAAAACACTGTGGATTTCTAAAATTTCTTGATGTACGCGTTATGATACCAAAAACATTTAGAGACGAGTTTATTACAATATTCATAACCTTATGATTAAACGAAATTTCAGTGTCTCAATATACACCCAAATCCCTAATCAGAGACACATGGCTGATAACAGTTGTGTCTAAAGCATAGCAAGATTGCAAAACGTCACGTTTCCTGCTGAGAGAAATCATTTTTGTTTTCGATTCGGTTAATACAAGGCCATTGGTCAAGCACCACAAAGAAATTGAGCATACGCCACGCTGAAGCAAAGCACAGTCCTCCACAGTATTTCTCCGTCGATGCAATTTTATGTCGTGGGCAAAAAACAACATTTTTGAGTATTTCGAACTAGAAGTGAGGTAATTTACGAAAATTAAAAAAAGAAGAGGCCCAAGATTGGCTTCCCTGTGGGACGCCCGACGTAGCCAAGAAAGGATTCGATAAGCAACTGGACACACGTACCGAGTTCTCGCGTTTAAACAAGTAACTCTCAAAAGGCTTGCAACACTTGGGGCACAAACCAAACATATATAACTTGGCCAATGAATGCCGGTGATCGACTTTGTCAAATGCCTTCGTCATGTCAAAGTAGACCACATTAGCTTTCTCCCGGCTATGAGCAATGGGCACAACATCATGCAGAAAAGAACACAAATTCGTCTCCGTCGAACGACCTTTCAAAAATCCGTGCAAAAATCCGGTACAATTTTCTAACGAAAATACGTATATAGACGATTTCGTAGTATTATTTCGAAAACATTTGACAATGTGCAGAGCTGTCACTCAGGTCGATAATTGTTCACTTTACTTCGGTCACCCGACGTAAACACTGGAATAACAAGAGAACTCTTCCACGTTGTCAAGAATACACCCGATTCCAGAGATAAGTTAAAAAATGTGATGTAAAACGGGACAAATCGTTTCCGCGCAGCCTTTCACTATAAAACTCGGGATCCCATCTATACCCACAGAAAAACCGGCTTTAGCATTCAAACAGCCTCCATGACTTCGCACTCAGTTATCGGATTGCAAGACAAAAAGTCGCCGCCTCTGATGTAAAGCAATACTACAGAGTGACGTGCAAAGTACTGACATGCATTATTTTTATACAGAAAAAGTAAGCGCATCTAAAAATAATAACTATCAATGGCATCAATAAAATCGGAAACCTCAAAAACGCTAGAAAGAAAAAAGTTTCATTCCGAGATGGTGCGGGGAAAGAACGTCCATTTGAGACGATTAGATCGTGCAAAGATTGGTATTAATGAATATTGATCATGGAGCCTCGCAGGTCGTGTCATTAACGGGATGAGGTGATTATGAGTGCCAAGCCGTACATTGTTTTGTACCATACGAAATAAAACTTTAGCCTGGAGAGCTTCCTACGCAGCTCAAGTGTAGCAATGCCATCCGTTTTCATAAGGTGCGATGGAGAGTCTAATCTTTTAAGTTTTCCATAGATGAATCTAACCGCGCACCTTTAAACCATTTCCAGGTTCGATTTTTTTTTGTGAAGGAATCCTAGACAAGGCTGGCGTATTCAAGTTTCGATAGCACAAAAGTGTTATGAGCTAAAAGTCTGATACTAGATGGTGTTTTCATTAGTCTTCGCCTAAGGAAGCCAAGTTTATGGAATTCGGATGAGCAGGTATTATCGATGTGTGTATCCCATGAGAGAGTCTTAGAAATCATCAGTACACGATACTTATACTCCGAAACTTCGCACACAGGGGAGCTACAGACATTGTAAATAAAATCAAGTAGATTTTTTTTGTTAGCAGCCCGTAATAAGCAGCTTTTTTAATTTCATTTTCCATTGAGCACACCAGTCTGAAATTTTTGAAAGTAAAAAGTTTAGTGCATACTGGTCGGACGAGCTTGTTGTATATTTGAACAGAACACAATCATCCGCAAAGCGTCTAATGCTTACACGTTCATCGATGACTCAGTCAATATCATTAATGTGTATTAGAAATAACAAGGGCCCCAGAACGCTGCCCTGGGGTATATCCGAAGATACAGGCAACCCATTTGAAAATTCCCCCGCAATATCAAAGAACTCTTTACGTTCTTGAAGGTATGATTTAATCTATCTAACAACAGGAATCGGAAGACCAACATTTTCTAATTTAAATGCTAATTTTCCATGAGGGACCCTGACACAGGCTTTACTGAAATCCAAGATTATCACGTCTACCTGACCAGATTTATCGAGACTAGTGGCGAAGTCATGGGCCGTGGTTAAGAGCTGAGTTGTGGTGGAAAACTCCTTTATGAAACCAGGTTGGAAGAGAGACGAAATGATGTTTTGCTCTAAAAAGGAAGAAATAAACTTTTTGAAATAATATGCTCCATGAGTTTGCAACAAGTTCACGTGAGATAAATGAGACAACATATTGTTAGCGATAATGGGTCTCCTTTCTTAAATACGGGGACGACACGTGCTAAAAGTCAGTCATTCGGAAGCACACAGGTGATAAACGAAGTTTGAAACATCATTGTCAAAAAACGTGCCATGACTCTGCGTACCGTCGAAGAAAAATATTTGGAATCTTCTCTGAGGAAAAACCGACGAGATGGATGCCTGGAACGCCGGCTTGTCTTAATGTTTCTAATCCAACCGTAAAGGGTGCACCAATACTTAAAAAAAAACAGCGAGCTCATGGTGGGTGGTTCATGGTGATAAAAACCCGAGACAGAGGAACACAGAAGGGGACGAAAACAATACAATGTCTGAAACACAGCTGAAGGCTCAATTGTCAGGCAATCGTTTTTGGTTCTTTGTGAAGGCATCGGGAAAGAGATAGAAATTAAGGGGAGGGGGGGGGTAGGCTTTTTGGGAAGATTGGGTAATAGCGATACAAGCGTTAAGGCTTTGAGATTAATTTTCGGCGCACCTTGGCTCACCGGGTGGGCTTCAACATGTGTTTGCGGCGATTGTGTTTAAGTCGGGAATTGCAAGGCGGCGGGGGAGGGGGATATACGAAGGTTTGCTTGTGTACCATTCGACGCCGGGTGGCAAGGAAGCTTTCCGTGTAATTTGGGATTAGCGGTTGTGGCAGTGGCGGGTGATGAGTCAACTGCGTGGACTTTCTCACGGACGCTGCGGCGCCTAGCGCGTGTGCATGTATGTGTGTGCGCGAGGAGGGCGGCTGACGATGGGCCGGATAGGAGGAAGCGGCTGGATCTTCGGGACTGTGGATGTCGGTTGGGGAACGGGGGGCTCGCCTTTTTAAACGAGTGCCTGAAAAATAAATCCTCAGCTGTGTTTGAGACGTTGTGTTGTGTTCTTCAACTTCTGTGTTCCTGAGTCTCGGGTTTTTATTTCCATGCCTCTCCAATATAGCTTCGACGGGCTAGCTTTTCTCCTTGTCCCATGTAGCTCATGTACGCCTTTGGTGTGGCGCATTCTCAGGACGATCGTTTTCTTAATAGGAGTATGTTGCCTTTTGAGTAAATGATGTAGAATGCTTCAATGTTTCAAGTGCACAACCTATATAGCTCGTGTTTATGACCATTACAACCGATCCGATGTCGATACAAGTTGATCGAAATACTTCCGATGACTGGTGAAGGTTAGAACGTTTAAAGGTTTAATTTCGGAAAAGAGCACGCACCCGACACGGTCTCATAATAGCCCCTCTCAAAGAGGGGCAACAGGTCAAAAATAAGTCCTTACTACGGAACACAGGCGTGTGGAGTGTTGTTTATACGATGGAAGAAAGAACGAATGCTTTTAAAGTAATAATAGCCGACAAGTGCTTTACGACCGCGGATTATATTTCCTGCAGCCTTGCTTGTTCCAATCGTTTTGGTGAAGTCGGGCACATCAGAGGAGGAGGCATCGAGCATGAGAAGCGAACTGTCGTCGAGGCTGATGAAGAAATCAAGGATGGCGCCTCCTGGTTGGAGCGTCCCCGTCGATATATTTCTTTTCCACACGCAGAAGGTTCTTTAAGACGCTTCTACGGGTATGTAAACCTATGTGAGATATTATAAAGTACTTTTTTGGGTGATTATAGGCACATTTTGGTACTTATTTCCCTACGGCTAACTGCCTCTCAAGTTGCAGTAAGATATGACGGACGAGCATCCTTCGCTGGAGTGTTGTGTGATGACATGACATCTGTTGAACAGCAGCTGTGCTGCGGTCATACCCTGCGAAGCAGCGGTCAATCCTGGTTTCCAGCGCCGTGCCCGGCCTTTATCCGGTATGGGCAAGATACGACACGCCCTGCGCTTTCTCTTAGGACGGTAGCAAGCTGTCCTGGCTCCCTTCCGCACCTGGCCATGATCTCAAAAAATAGGGCATGGCGGCATTGGCAGAAAGAAAGACAGCTGTGCTGGCTGCAGTGACACTGCTGCCGGGCTGGTGGAGTGCAGATGTTCTTACCCGTGCCAGCTGCTTACATGGTGGAACAATGACTAAGGCCGTAGTTGTGGAAATGTATAAAGCATGCCAAAGTGTTTGCAGGCCTTATGACTTAAAAGGAACGGAAGCCATATTGTGCCAAACTGACAAAGACAAGCTACTATGGTCGCAATGATAAAATGAAGCAACTTAAAACAGGTAAAACGAAATGTGGTATGTGAGGCGCCCACTTGTAGTAATAAAATACAGAACTCTTTCAAAGGGGACAAGATAATGGTTTCCCGGTAAGCGAGCAGGGTGAAATTGGATGTGGTACCGAAAAATTCCGGAATATGAGCACGACATTCTGTTAAAAGTTTTGAACAGAGTTGCAAGCTATGCAGAATTCTACGTGAGTTTCCACAGCGGTCACAGGCTAAGGCATCGTCCGCGCAGAGCAGATAATTTTGGGTGACATTAGAGTGGCTGATTTGAAGCCGGCACATAAACACTTATAAAACTTGTACTTGACCGAAGAGCTCTCCCAGAACCCGATCATGAGAAGCATATTATTGCATTCCACTCTCCATTCTGTCTGCAATAACCGAAATAGTGACGGCTTGATTTAATGCTTGATGTCCTGGTAAGGTAAGCCTGCATGAGATTGAGGAAGGTCACTCAAAGACCTAGCAAGACTGTCAGCCTGCTAGTTGTTTTCCCTGCTCCAGTGAGTCGGCACCCAACAAAATCTTATAAATATAGGCTCCACATGAAACACTCTTAAGCTTGCACCGTAGGTGTTGTACAAGGAATTGTTTAGAAGCTCTCAAACAGGTTATCGCGGAGATAGCACTCTGAGAGACAGACCTTTTTATTTTTTCTTGAAAGATATAGTTCATAGCTGTGGAGACAGCATAAAGCGCCGTTCACACTCTTGCGACCGAGTAATACCGAAAGAGACCAGACCGGTTTTCAAGCCTTTTGCGACTTCTTAGTACCGGATGCGCTGCAGCGAGGCTGGTCCTAAGATATCGCAAGAGGCTAAGAAACCGGTCTCGTCTCTCTCAGTCGTACTCGGTTTCAAAAGTGTGAACGGGCCTTTAACTTCAGCTTAAAAAATAAAAGACGTCTACAAATCTCTGCAATGCGAAATGAGAGTTCAGCTCTTGAGGAGGCGCAGGGGAGGGTGCGGAGTGAAGTGTATGCTCTCCCTTGTCCTCCGTACCCTCCCCTCCGCCTCCCTTCCTCCATTCCTCCTCCCTTCCTCCTCTCCTTCTCCGTCCTCCTCCCCTCCCCCTTCCCACCCCCTCCTCCTGTCCTCCTCCGTACCCTCCCCCCCCCACACGTCGCCCGCTAAAATTAGCTGGAAAATTGACGCCACATGGCCTCAGCACGAATGGACCATTCTGTAAACTGGCGCGCGCCCTCGTGCGGCACGCGCGAACACCCCTTGGGAACTCTAAGGAGAGGGAGAGGAGAGCCACCGGAGCTAAGCCATCATAACCGAGCCGCTCTGTCGCCTGCGATCGCGCCGCCTGTAGTCTGCGAGAACCGTGAAGATTACGTTCCCGCTGTGCATGTGAAGATCGCGTCTTCGCTGCTTGGCTTCATGAAGGTTTGCCGTAGCCGCACAGGCTGTGCTGTAACAACGACAGGAAGTGAGGATCATTTCGATCACACTTCAGTTGATAGCCTTGTTATTGTCGGGTGTTTTATATGCGAGGTTTCGGTGTCGTTTTAGTATTACAATCAGTTTTCCCCAGTTTCGTTAGTTGCCTTTTCATTCGGTTAAAGTTTTGTTATTATTAGCCCCGTGAGAGCCCTCCTTTTGGGGTACTATAGATGTTGTTTTTTTTGTGTAAAAACGAACGGTATGGCGACGCACATAGAAACATAGGACGTAAACCTTCGATGTTATTATTCGGCTCCAATTCGCCCGCTCATGTGTTTTGAGCGGCATGGTGCTACGAAAAGGCAACGCTTGCCACACAAATGCTTCACAAAAGCACGCTTCCAATAGAAAGCAACAGCAAGTGACATATTTGCAGGATTTAGCAGAGATAGTAGCACAGTCGAACAAACAGGCGTGCTTATGGCAGCTACTTCAAACTTCGTGCGTATTCGCCCTTTTTCGCTTGACGGCACCAGTGAGTCTTGCACACTTGAGGTATACGTATATTTTATAATTTTGCCAGCAAAATTAGTTCACAGATCAACCATTTCTCGAAAACAGGTGGTAAGTTAGATCGCGCAAACACTCTAGAACCTGCTTTCTACTTTGAGACCGGATGTGCTTTGGGGCTGTTTCCACACTGGCGCCCCCTTTCAAACTCACGCGAGAAAGAGCGAATGGCGCGTGCTTAGCTCGTTTTCTGAAGCCACAAACGTGGCCGTGCTTGGCTGGGGAAATTGCAGGCAAGCCTGTCGAGGTTGTAAACATTTGGACAGCCTTCTTTTGGCCAACACACGTTTCCGAAATAATGTCTTGGGGCGCGTCCGCTGAGTTTGCGCACTCGGCAACGGGTAAAAAGAACTGAATAAAAGTACAAGTTAGTAGTCCTGACTGCTGAGCTAAATGAGCCATCGTGGATGTGCGGGTCATTTCACTGACACCCAGTATTAAGAGATAATATTTGATAGAGCATTTACATAAGGGCGTGAACTGCCTAGCAACAGTAACCATCGTTAGAGCACCCTTGTCCTGACTTGGAACAAATCTCCCCAGAACCCTTTGTTTCCTACTGTTGCCTTTTGACTCCTTCCGCTAATGGCCTGGGATCGAAAAAAAACCGAACGCCTCTGCTCCTGGAGCTGCCGGAAGGACGGTGGACAAAACAGCTGAAAGACATCCCACAACATTTTTCCGGAGTTCACATAATGCAACATGAAGAGTACCAAGAGGCTTCAAAACACAACGTAGCAGGGTACCGGATGTTCAAAAGTGCAAAGGTACATGATGTCCTAATGAACGCAATACATTTTTTTTTTAGGGGGGGAAGGGGTGGGGGGGGGGGGGGGTAAAGGCAACGATGGAAGCAGTGTTTTCTCTTTCCAAGACTTACCTTAATGCTGCTACACTTTCAGATAATGGAAGTGTTGATCGAGCTGCCTGCAAGTGTCGTGCAGGCCAGTGTGGTGTGTGTAAACATGTGGCTGCCATGCTGCGGCTTATACTCGACACAGTCCTATGTGGATCAAGCTATATTAAAAACAACGTTACTTAAGGAAAAGCCAAATGATTGGGGAACTGGGTCCAAATACTTGAAGGTCAAAACCTTCACATTTTCCAAACTCTCGTTTCTGAAACACGAGCGAGGAAAGGTGAAGTCGAAGAAAGCTGACAAGTCGCAAGAACATATTGTTAAGGTGACTGAGAAAGATTTGGCATAGTGTATGTTTACAGATCGTGTCATCAACCACATGCTTGCGGAGGTGCTGCAGACCTCAGACTTCCAGCCAGTACCCTTGAAGGAAATCCAACACAAACCCGAGTTGCCCTTTCTACCGATACAATTGCCAGTCTCAGTGCTCCGGCCAGATTACGAGCCAGAACACTATGACCTCTGTGATTGCTCTCTAACCACTGATGAGGCTAGGGAACTTAAAAGAAAATTAGGGCACAAAGCAACAGTGCAATGTGGGTAGCTGAACAGAAAAAGCACCTCACAGACTCCAATTTCGGTGATGTGGTCAGAAGACAAGCTGAGGATAATGACCGATTTTTGAGACAGGTGCTCTCCCAGGTGTCGTACAGCAATAAGAACATGACGGAAAGGATTGAGAACTAAGAAGCAGTAAATAGTTATGTGAAGAAGAGAGGAGAACAAGGACAAGTACTTCACTGCGGCTTTTGCGTTAACCACGGAGTGTCTGTTTTGAGGGCTTTCTTTGATAGAGTCGTCTAGGAGAGATGTACAAGTATTTGGGTTTGTAGAGATCAAGACACTTGCATCAGCAAAACAAAATAAATTGAGCCTCAAGGAGGCAATTAGCGATGCAGCTTTCATGAATGGCATCGAGCTTCGTTAGTCGCACAGGCACAATTATAAAGTGCAAGGCGAGATGGCATTGACCGGATTAACCTTGTGCGACTTTGTCATAGAAAATGACACAGAATGTCACGTGGAAAGGATAGACTTTGATAAGCAGCTATGTGCTGCCAACATGGTACCACAGCCGCTTGACTTTTACTCACTTTGCAGAGGGGAACGTTTGTCTAAGTAATATGTGCATACAGTTACTCACTGGTTTGAATCCAGTTTACGGCAGTGCAAACTTCAATATATGATCACTTGTTAGGTTTGATATGGCATAAATTTCTCGTAATGAATATCGGCTGCTTTGCCTTTTCCTCTCGCAATAAAATTTAAAAAAATTATAACATGATCTAGAAGCAGCTGATTATCACGCTGCACAACAATTTATTTCAGTTAATAATACAAGAAAAGTTCTAAAACAACTAAACAGTTTTTGTGCTTTTTATTAAGTAACAAAGTACACATTGTGACTTTCTTAGATCACTGTTTGTTTTTCTTTTAAGAAACAGAACACTCATTAACAAGTACTAGTATGGAGAAGAGTGCAAACGTAGGGCCCCAAGCTAGGTGGTAAATTTTGTGCTTGTCAATACTAATGTTGGGGCAAACGTTTCCCACCGCAAAGCCGAATTTTCGG